AGGACAAAATGGTCAGTTGGGTGGTCAAAATGGAAATCAAATTTGGCAATTAGGTGTTCCAAACATGCAAATGCTGGATCAAATTAGGCAATGGATGGAGCAACTTGACCAGAACATTGACAACATTCAAGATCAGGTTAATGTGGAACAGAATGCGCCGGTGGGAAATATAGGTTTAGCAACAAAAGGAAATGCTGGAAATACAGTTGGAGGGGTTCAGGCTGGTGATGTTGGTGGTAATCAAGTCGATGTTATTAATGTCGGTGGTATTCAGGATGGTGGTGTTGGTGGTAATCAAGTTGATGTTGGTAATGTAGGTGGTATTCAGGCTGGAGATGTTGGTGGTAATCAAGTTGATGTTGTTAATGTAGGTGGTATTCAAGCTGGCGAAGTTGGCAATGTTGGTGGTATTAAGACAAAAGATGCAGTTAATGCAGATGGTATTCAAGTAGGTGACGCTGGAAATGCAGATCTTCAAACAGGTGCTGGTAAGGAAGTAGGTGTTCAGACTGATGTTGGTATCGTAGGAGGTGTCCAGGTTGATGTTGGTAACGTCGGGGGTGTTGAGGCTGCTGCTGGAAACGAAGGGGCTGTTGGTGATGTTGTTAATTTAGGAGGTATTCAGGCTGATCTTCCTAATGTAGGGGGTGTTCAAGCTGATGTTGGTAATATAGGAGGTATTCAAGCTGATGTTGGTAATGTAGGGGGTATTCAGGTTGATGGTGGTAATGTAGGGGGTAATCAGGCTGATGTTCCTAATGTAGGAGGTGTTCAAGCTGATGGCGGTAAGGTAGGGGGTATTCAGGCAGGTGATGTTGGGAATGATCAAAACGGGCAAGGGTTAGCTCAAGGTGGTCAGGGGGGGATGGACGGTCAATGGAGAAATGATAATGGTCAGTGGGGAAATCCAGATGGACAGTGGGTAGATCCAAACGGACAATTAAATAATAACAATGGACAGTGGACTGATCAAAACGGACAATGGGACAATGGACAGTGGCGAGAACAAAACTGGCAATGGGGAAATCAAAATTGGCAATGGCAGAATCAAAACAACCAATGGGGAAACAATGGACAGTGGGGTTAAGATGAATAAAATTCAGGAAACAAATAACACCCGTGACTACGCTCGTATAAACACAATCTTGCATATTTGAATTGCACCACATAAAGAGGAAAGATAGGCCTTCCTATAAAGATGATTTTATTAGTAAATTTAATATGTCCTGTTATTTTTTTGATTGAAAATAATTTATTTACATCTAAGCATGAAAATGATTAGTGAACACGCTTTCGCCTGTATAACGCCTCAAAGTAAAAAAAAGAACATAGGGTTTATATTGTGTTCATAAATTTTATTGAATGATACCTTCTCTGTATATTTCAAATAATTTTATATGCTCACATCAAATATGAATTGTGCAATGACTTCTGTCCATGAACGGGTCCTGTGGAAATTCCGTTCAAAAATGTTATGACCAATCTTCTTAGTCCCTGTAACTTAATTATTGATTACTAATTATTATCACGTCAGCATAAAATGTTGAAGAAAAAATAAGTTAATTCGAATGTGTCATCTTTGATATTTTTTAGTTCAAGAGTTAAAGTATATGTTATTGATTAGACTATCCAACTGTTATGTGGACGTGTATTAATAATCCTAGGATATCTCCAACTTGGTATCACTATTAAGTAAACATTGATAATTCAATATTTATGTTGCATGCTTTTAATGTATATATGTGTGTATAAATGATCATTTGTCAGTTGCACAAGAAAATCATTAATGATATGATCATAAAAGTGAAAATTGTTTTGCTTATATGTTCATACTTGCATTTGCATGATTTTAATTTAATGTAAATAGAGTTTTTGTTTGTTTGTATCATGTAATAGTGTAACAATTGATGTAAAGATTCATTAAAGTTGATTTCAAATTGATTACAGTATTTTATATCAATTAGAAGTAATTTTTCAGAAGGGCATTATGTCATACTATTTAATACTAACGTTTATTTGTTTGAAACATTGGTGGGCAATGTTGACAGGCCAAGAAGAAGAGTGGAATTAGGTCCACAGTTTAGATGGAATTCCTTTTTAATAGCTCATATAGATGCAGACCTGAAGTTTACCCTTCCAAAGCAGGGAATCCTATCTCTTTTATTTTAGCAATATTGCTAAAAGAAAAAATTCTATTTTGAAAAAAAAAATTCTATTTTGAAAAAAAAATTCTATTTTAAAAAAATAATTCTATTGTCTGAGCAAAGTAAAAATTTTTTTAAAAATATTTCCCATTATTTTTATGAGAAGAAGAAAAGCAGCCTATAAATAGCACTGTCAGTCTTAGAATGTCTTTGCCTTGATAAAAATATAAGTATGAGCACACATAATGTCTTCAAATTTGTTTTGACAGAAAATTCAGCCAAAATTTGTGACTTTTGGGTTGAAATTTCTGGGAGAGAAATATGTTTCTTTTCCATGTAAACTTACAAAAGATTATATTTTTATAAACGCAAAGACATTCTAAGACTAACAGTACTATTTTGCGCCTGATATTCCGATTCTCTTCAAAAATATTGAAAAAAATTCAAAAAAAACTTTTTCATTTGCTCAGACAATAGTGCTATATAGTCTCTAATAGTAATACAACTTAGGTATTGTAGTAAAAAATAACTTTTGTATCTGGTACTTCGTACTTTTAGGTGACATTTATACCTAATACAGCATACATACAAGTGGGTATTTTTTTTTTCAAAATCTAAATGCATTTATTTGCTTTACTAAACATCTATGGTCATAAACTCTTATATTAAACTGTACAAATTTTATTCATTCAAAGTTAATGCAAAATGAACATGGTAAAGAGATGAAATGAAAATCCATAAAATTACATACAAGTGGTCCCATAATAAAATTTGAATCATAAATTATGATCATATAGACTTATAAATAACTTAATCAGCCTTCTGTCTTCGTGCTTTAATATTAGCTTCTCGTTTTGCTTTCCTTTTCTTTTCTTTGTCCTTATGTTCAATCTGCTTTGCAAGCTGCCAAGCAAGAATTGCACTCACTAAAAAGAAAGGTGATAAGCACAGCAATACATAATAAATAAAAGTCCATGGACTGGTTGCTGCCATTTGTAAAACATCTTTTAACAGTTCATTCATATCCCAACCAAACATCTTTGCAAATTATAGATTGTCTTCCCACGATAGATGCAAACTTTCATTCTGAAAATAAATGTGTAATTCATTAGACAATCACCATTTTTAGGCTGCCCACTAAACACAACAATTGTTATATCATTTTAGTTATTATGTTAGGAGCTACTTAGGCTACGCTAAGATAAATACAAAACATTTCCGTTTCCATAAAGACTAGGTAACATATTTTAACAAGCAAACTGAACAAATCTTATGAGTAATGTGAAATGGACGACAAAATTGCAGAAAGCCAGTGGTCTTTTGTATAATAAATTTTTTGAAAACAAAAACTCTTTTGTAATATTTGGAGTTTTTCCTAATAAAAAGTTGAAGAAGTGGTAATATGATTCACATTATAATATTGACTGACAAAACAAAAAGCTAAATACAAACGTAACACGTATGCAAAATGAAGCCGGGTAAGCGGTTGGTAAAGCAAAGACACCTATATCAATATCTATATAAAAGAACCATACCGTTGAAAATGAATAACGAAAGCCTATCTTTTATCATTAAAAATGGAAAACTGAATGATAATATGCGACTTTTTCGTAGAAAATATATATTGCTTACCGTTTGAAATTAAACCTGCTCACCAAAAATCATCAAAATTGAGCTGCGGTTGTTTTGTTTACTAAACTGGTTAAGAGTTGCGTCCCTTCTCTTTAGGGTGGTGTGTCTAAACACCCAGATACACTGTATTATTGCCTCGTTTGATACCTCTTGTGACTACCGTGTTCACAGGGTCAATGTTGTTAATTTCCGTTTGATAGTGGGTTTAATCTCGTATTTACTACTATAGAAGTCGTGAAAATGGAGAAACAGTATAGACACCCATTTTCACGACTTATCCGACATTCACCTCGACCCGTATAAATTGGCCACAACTTTCATTTTGGTCAAGTTAATTTTTTATTTAAAGACTTCTGACAATTTTTTTTACTGTCGTCATGACATAAATACCACTAAATGTTAATAAATAGCTTGGAAATGGCATATAAAATATATCAATGCCGCTAATTTTGTCAATTATTTTAGTTATGAAGTCGTGAATATTGTCCGATCAGTCTCCATTTTAGCGCACGATTTTTGGACTTCAAAAAAGTTGTAAACACTATTTTCACGAGAGGTATCGAACGGGGAATAAATTCTCCCAGGCTAATAATGTCCTTTGGTTTAGATTTGACTATGCGCTTTGTAGATATTGATTAGGCTACTCTTCAGATTGTCTCGATTCAAGTTGGGTTTGAACTGTTACCTACGGTGGCTCACATACGACATATATTTCACTTTTAATTTTGAATTTAAAACTTTAATTTTATGTGATAATTCGTGTAATTTTTGATTAAAAACTTTAATTTTCACTTAGGTGAAAATAATTTCCATCTAGGTGATAATTCAACGAATCTTGTAAAAAAGTTATTAATTAAAAATTCTTGAATTATCACCTAGTTTAAAATTAAAGTTTTTAATTCAAAATTACAGGAATTATCACCTAATCTTCACTATCAACTAGGTGAAAATTTAAGTTTTTAATTCAAAATAAAAAGTGGAAAATGTCGTATGTGAGCCACCGTAGTTTACCTAATTTGAATTTAATAAACCTTCAACGAAAGGCTACAGACCTAATTAAATAGTCCATGTAAAACAGTTTGTCTATGATTACTTCCCCTCTAATATGATTAAAACTTGTGAGATCGAAAATGGCTTTGGTGCAGCCAGAATTTACCAAAATTACCTCAGGCATTGTCGGTTCCGAGGGTCCCGTGTTTGATAAAACTGGCACATTGTATGTGGTAGCCCCAACAGCCAACATGGAAGGTGATAAATTTGGAGGGCAGGTGCTAAAAGTGGATATAGAACAAAAGCAGGTGGGCGTGTCTTGATTTAGAAAGGCTTGTTATCAGTATCCCATAATGTAAAAGGTCCTAAGTTTTTGATATCAATAGGGGAATTGCTATATTTGAAGGCTCAAAAATATTTTGATTCCTCTCTGTAGCAAACTCGTTGTACTTTTCTCGTCTCTTAAGTAGGTCGTGTTTGTGTTAGTTATCTAGAACGACGTGACTGAGTAAATAAAAGCTATATTTAACATCCAGACAATCTTTTTAAAAGCAAAGGAAAATAGAATGATATTGGATTATGTTATAATATATATTATGTTATACTGTTAGTTTAAGATTTCTCAAAAATATGTAGGCTGTATTGTAGGCGAACGTATTGTGTTTACCAGTAATCAATGGAGATGGTGGTGCCCCAGCAGGGTGTCAATGTGATAAAGATGGTAATATTATGATAGCTGATATGAGGCTAGGCATACTGAAAGTACAATCCAATGGTCACTATACACAGGTAATATTAAACGAAGTAAGAGTTGGAATGTCTAACGTGTAACTAGCTTAGCAAGGGCGACTGATCAACTGCATGGGGGATATTATATCGCGTCCTTCTGTAGCCCGATGTGTTTGTTTATCACAAAATTTGAAATTAAGTTTGAAATGTCCTCCTTAGACACAACCCTCTTATTATGAGGGATAGAAGATGAAAAGAAAAGGACGTTTTAGACAATGTTTATTTAATATGTCATGATTAATGTTTCAGATACTGGTTGACATGAACTCCATATTGGAATGTCTCTTCCATTTAAATCAATCCCAGCAGAGAGATAATACCTTCGGATATTTTAATCCATCCCCACCTCTTTTTATCCATTGCGAAACTTTGAAATTAATCTGATGTCTGTTTATTAGATATGTCAAGTAGATGATGAAGGTAATATCATGCAGGGTTGTAATGATTGTCATTATGATTATTATGGAAATTTATGGGTGACTGCACCAGCTGGTAAAATTGCTCCACATCCTTATACTAGGTCCATGGAGGTGAGTTAACACAGAGGGCACGACTTAAGTCGAAGATTGTTGCTGTATATATTTCCGGACAGCAGGCAGAGAAAATTTTGGCAAAGGAATATTATTTTTCGGATTCCATAAGATAAACATATTAGTATTTTCCAAGCAGGTCTTTAAATTTAGGCTCTGACTCTTAAGAGGGGAAATCCTTTATTTCCAAGTTTTCTTTAGAAGTAAAACGAAACGTAGACCTTCACACATGTCTCCAGACTTAGACAGTATTTAAATTCTTATTCCTTTTTTCAGGAAGCTTTTGGATCATTATACTGTCTGACTACAGAAGGAGAGGTTAAAAAGGTTGCCACTGATATTCAATTTCCTAATGGTTTAGCAGTACAGCATGATTCTGATGGAAAACCAAAGATACTTGTCGTTGCTGAAACACCTACCAAACTTCTATTGGCTTTTGATATCACTTCTGACAATCAGCTAGAAAACAGACGAGAATGGGGCAAAATGCCAGGTATTATGAAATACTTAATTGCCATGATTAACACAGTCTGGATAATTTTTTATTTCGAAAATTACTTAAGCATAATGCAATTCTTCTCTATTGATATTGTTGTTGTCGTATAACAAACTAAAGAAATCTTTTTTTGTAGTATAAAACCCAACTGTTTTAAATGACTACAGTTAAATGTCACCTCATTTTATCAGATCATTACTTCATTATCCAAAGAAGAATATATTGTACTGTACAATCATTCGGAAATTCCCGGCAGTTTTCGTAAAGCTGAATCGAATGGTAAATTTCATTGTGACTTCTTGGGCGAGAGTTTTCACTTCCGGTATTTAGCAGTGATTTGTCAAGTGGTAGTAATATTGCGATCTAAACATAGTTAGAGCCTCTGAGAGTTAAACCTAACATATCTTATGTTTTGTTTTCTGTGACTTTGCTCATTCCCTACTTCCGTCTCGAGATATACAACGTCAACTTATTATGGCAAGATGGAAAAGGATCAAATACAAATGGTTTACTACATGTAAAATTTCAGACTCGTGATATACTCCTCCATATTAGCCTAAATTGATGTTGTTTATCCCGAGACGTGTTGCTCATGCGCACGTGTAGATCCGAATTGGCCTATTGTAAAACGTCTTTCGCATATGCCATATTCGCAAATACTTCTAAGGTGAGAATGAAAACAAAATTTTAGAACTGGGTTATATCGTAGTAATTATTGATAGACTATTTTTCTATATAAAAACCCCACTAATACTAATAATATGGATACTATATAATCTCAGGTGATCTAGAAGGTGGAGCTGATGGAATGGATTTTGATGAAGATGGCAATTTATTAGTAGCACACTGGGGTTCCGGTCATATTGAGGTTTTTGGGCCGGATGGTGGAAAACCAAGGCAGAGAATTAAATGCCCGTTTCAAAAAATAAGCAATTTGCATTTTGTGCCTAAATCAAAAACAGTATATGTCACAGAGCATGATGATGATGCATTATGGAAGTTTACATGGGAGAGACCAGGGAAACCACAATACTGTGAATTGTAAAATATTATGCAAATAATTGTAAAATATTATGCAAATAAAGAAATTATTTTCTTAAACTGTGTGTTTTGAGCGACAATGTTTTGTGGATGGATGGAAGTTTTACCAACGAATCCCTTCATTGGGTGCGAATTTCTTGTAAAATTACTACCTTTGTATCCATGGTGCCTCGCCGCTGTTTTCAGTAAAAAACTACGAAGGTAGATTTCATAATGTTGATGTCATCGAATGAACATAAAATCTGGGCGATTAACTTTTATATTAGTAGATATAAGTGAGAAAGAGGGTTCCGTATGTTCACTGGCCATTGTAACATCACTGAGGTTAACAGAATAACACCATTTATCAACCATTTATTATAATTAAACCAAACCAATGAATTAAACCAAACCATTGAATGAAACCATTCGAAATCTAAAATAATAATATAGAAATGTTTAGAAATCAATAACTAAAATCTGGACCCGATTAAGTCAGTCTTTTTCGCACTATATTCACAAACAGTAAAACGAGGTCGTCATCTCGGATTATTCATTTTTTCCGGAAGCAGAAACAAGCATGTCAACAACAATCATGTACTATTTGATTATTTTGTTATAAACTGATTAACATTGGTAGAACAAAGAAGACCTAGTATAGGTCGCCCAAGAAGTTATGGAAATTGCATAATATTACAAATGAACTTATTCTGGTTCTTATAATATGCTTTATTAAGCTTATATCTTAACTTACTCGTGGCCTCTTCTTCAGTTTATAAAAAAGGCCGTGGATATTCGCCACCCGGGTGGCGAATAGTCCTTGTCCATTAATTTGACTATTCGCCATCCGGGTGGCAGAAAAATCTCTAAAAATTCATGAAATGTCAGCCTTTTTGATATAATTGTTTCTTTCAGTGACATATTAGTCGACTCTGTGTAATTTGTAATGGATTTTGTCAGGTTCAGACAAGACCACCGTGTTAATATAAATTGAATTTCTTGCAATGAAACGAAAGTAGAAATTCCGCCATTTTGTTTACACCAAATTAGCACACATCCCAAAAGGCCCTGTTAGTGTTGCTATGAAATTTAGCATCATATGTTTGTATAAGAAATCTGTAGAAAAAAAATGAAATAAAATAAAATTTTACGTCCTACTTTTCTGCACCTGTATGGGCTACTGAGGATGGGCAAACGCCATGCAGTGTGCAATGAGGGAAATTTTGTCAGGACAGCGACATTAGCCTACTCTTATTTTCGATTTCCAACTGTCGAGGGATCTTTACGTAAGTAAAAAAAAAAGGTTGATGAAGATGTGTAAATAGTAGAAAATAAGACATAGCAGGCGCGTGTCCAAATTGTGTCACATTTATCCTAGACGCATTTTCCAAGTAAGCCCTTCCGATCACAAACACCGACGAGGGGAAATCTAGTCGAAAAATCCAAAGATGATTGGAGCCATCGCGAATGTGTAAGTAATGTATGTGGGTGGTAAATACACTGCATTGGGTTGGGTGGAAATATGTATTCGAAGTAATAAGGTTTAAGGTATAATAAGGCGTACGATACTGTGGGTGGTAAGTAATGTGTACGGGTGGTAATAAGGCGTACGGTAATACACAATACTGACTGGTGGTAAGTAATGTGTAAGGGGGGTAATTAGGCGTACAGTAGTACACAATACTGACGGGTGGTAAGTAATGTGTAAGGGTGGTAATAAGGCGTACGATAATACACAATACTGACGGGTGGTAAGTAATGTGTACAGGTGATAATAAGGCGTACTATAATAAACCATACTGACGGGTGGTAAGTAATGCGTAAGGGTGGTAATAAGGCGTACGATAATACACAATACTGACGGGTGGTAAGTAATGTGTACGGGTGATAATAAGGCGTACTATAATAAACCATACTGACGGGTGGTAAGTAATGCGTAAGGGTTGTAATAAGGCGTACGATAATACACAATACTGACGGGTG